AGCGCCAGCTCTGGCTGCCATAGCACAGCCAGGCGGTGCAGCTCCTGCCTGCCACCAGCTCCCTGTGCCTTCGCCCCTTGGCTGCTGCTGGGTGAGCTTGATGCCAAAGCCCCGTCTTCTGACTCAACTCCATGCTGTGCCTTCCCCCAGCCTGCACCAGAGCTGCCGGTGCTCGGATGATGCGGTTTGGGATCCGTGGGAGCAGCGAGCGCTGGGATCTCTCAGCAGGGCTGTGGCTGTCCCAGCCGTCCAAGGAAGGTCCCCAAGCACTCCCTGCTGACTGGGCACCTGGCCCCCCTCGCTTGCCTCTGTGGAGGCCGTGCCCTGCCCAGGGTGCGCAGGCTGGCTGTCTCAGGGTGTGTTTGCTGCTGCGCCTGTTGTGAAGCTGTTCCCAGCAGCAGCGTGCGGTACACAAGCTGTCGCTGCTGGGTCTGGCCTTCAAATAGTTCTGTTTGTCACTGTAGAGATGGAATAAACTTTTTCACCTAGCCACCATGTGCCTTTCGTCTCTGGGGCAAAATGGGGTTCCTCCTCTCCCCGAGGGCTGGGGGTGTTCCAGGCAGGGCAGCAACTGCTGCGTGCAAACAGCACACTCATGCTGGTGTCTATTTTTAGGCAAGCCCTCCTTCTGCTCCTCAGTGGCTGTTTGGTAGAAGGTTTGAGCAGAGAGCTCCGACGCCACCCCTGCGACCAGCTGTCCAGCACAGGCCGCTGCTGTGAGCGATCAGCCTGACCTACTTGCACGCTGTTTGCTGCAGGGAAGCCTTTTCGGAGCAGTCTGGGACAGAACACACACTGACAACTTCATTAAGTTATTTATTAACCTCAACTGGTAGCAGTGCTGCCTTCCCAGTCCCTAAGGGGAAGCCCAGGCTTGGCAGTGAAGTGCTCGGGGGTGCCACACCTGCCATCACATAACGCCGAGGGAGGGGGGTTTCAGACAGCTCTTGTAACCTCCTGGGGAGGTGCCTCCGAGCTGGAGGCAGACAGAGAGCTGTGTCGGCATGTGGAGATGGGACCTGTCCAGAACCAGCTTGGAGCTTGTGGACACTGGCTTACAGGGAAAAGCACTTTTGCAAGAAGTAAGGAAAAAAACCTTCCAGAAACGAAGTCAAGCACAGGGGGAAGAGGATCCTTCAGCCAGCTTACAGCAGAGGAAGAACCAGCCTTGAGAATTTTTGGAAGGCTGGGGAGGGAGCGAGATAGGTGACTAGAGAACAGAGACCCTTTTCCAAGTAGCTGTATCTTCACAGAAACAGTAGCCCAAACCTTACAGACCAAGTCCTCCAGACGCTTCGCAGGTACCTGAGCACTGAAGCGGCAGCACCAAGCTTGGACCAGAGCAAAGACACCCCCTCATTTTGGAGAGGAGGCGTTCCTGAAGCTCAGTCTAGTTCTTGCAAACGGACTCTTCATACGCAGACTACCAGAGCACTGCCAGCCCTTTCAGAGTTCAAAGCTAGGAAGAGCCTCCTGCCCGGCCGTCGCATCAGGCCTCCTTCCCCCTCTCCCGTTTCAACAAAGATTGACGAGGCTGTTACAGCAAGCGAGTGTAATGGCAAACGGCCCGGCCTCGCCGTCGCTCAGAGGGGCTGCTGAGGCCAGGCTGCTGCTGCGCGTGTCAGTCGCTGTGTGGCAGCTCTGTGACAAGGGATGGGTTATCTCCTCAGGCAGTGTTAAAAAAGGAAGTGAGTTTAAAACACGAAGGTACTGGACATTGTCTTAAGAAACCTGCAATTTTGCAACAGCGCACAAGAGATGAAGGAGCGGTTGTGCTCGCAGGCAAGCGACCAGCCCGCGGTGCCGGTCTGAGCGTACACAGCAGACCAGGAGCACAGGCCAGAACCACGGCGAGCGACGGAAGCCCCGCAGCCTGGTGTGCTGTGGCTGTTCTCCCAGAGAGCCTGTCTCTCTCCTGTGTTCTGAGAAAACAACTCACTTTTCGTCAGGCTCCCGCTTCAGCTTCCCCCCGGCGTCGGGTCCGGCCGATCCCCCTCTTCCCTGGTGCTCGGTGCAGGGGAGCAGCGGCTGGTTGGGCAGGCAGAGCTGAGGCACTGAACAGTTTTGCTAAAACCAGAGGAAGCCAGACCTGGCGTCTGGGAGCCGCAGCATTTGGCTTCCTTCCTCTCGTTTTCTCCCATGCGGGAGCTCGGCAGTCAAGAAGCAAAGATCTTCCGGGAGGCGGCCACGTCCAGCTGCCTCACCCCCATGGGCACGTTCTCCTTGTTTTCCAGCCCAGACTGCTGAGGCCGCTTGCGGAAGTAGCAGGCTCGGCAGACGGAGTGGTACTTGTCTGCTCCTCCGATCACTTCAACCTGGCAAGAAGACTGGGATAGTGACCCTACAGAGCTCAGTTTCCCCAGGCAGATGCCTCCAGGCCAGCAGGACTGGCAGGGTGAGGCACTGCAGTGCTTTCTGTTCTGAGGGAACCCACCTCCCTCTCTGCTCCCAGCCTCTTCGTGTAGGAGGCTTCCCGGTAGCACTCCATGCACACGGCGTTCAGCTTCACCACGCTCTCTGCCAGCGGCACCAGGTTCAGGATGTTCCCGAAGGCCTGTGCCAAGACAGCAGGGGCAGTTCTGTTGGATGGGTTCTGTGAAGATCCCAAAGAGCTGCAGCACTAAAAAAAGCATTTTACCTTTCTCTGGAAAGTCCCATCAAGAGCAGCAACGATGACGGTTTTCCCAGAATTGGCCATGGTCTCACAGAACTCCACGATGTCTGGGAACTGCAGGTACAGAAACAGCGTCAGGAGGAAGGGGCAGCACTGCGCTCAGGACCCGGCAGCACAGGGGACGAAGAAAACTAGAGCCACGTGGCCTATCCCTGACTCCAGCCCCACTGTCCTCAGCCCCAGGGACTACGGGAAGGGTTTGTCGGTACAAGCATACTCCAGCAGGACCAAACTGGCCGTGCACTTACGAACTGGCCCTCGTCAATGCCGATGACCGCAGAGCCCAGTGCCTCCTGGTACACATCCTTGAGGATGCAAGCGGGCAGGGCTGCCATGGTGCTCCTGTGGGAAGGGAGATCGAGCGGGTGGGCTGGGCAGCCCAGGGGCTGGGCCCACAGGGTGGGTGCTCCTGCCCCAGGGACTCACTTGTCGTGCGTGGAGACGCCGGAGGTGCCGTAGCGCGTGTCCTTG